TGCACTCGGATTCGAAATCGGAATAAGCACTATACCCCGCATTATCGTGTACCGTACCGCAAGTGCTCATTACGAATTCACGGCGAGAAAAAAAAACAACAAAAAAAACAGAAGAGAAGAGAAGAGAAAAGAAAAACTGTGCGGATTTATTCGAGGGTTAATACAAAAAAAAAATATATATTTCAGTGCGCTTCAGAGATTTGCTCGCAATGCAAATCTTTCATCTTTCATACCCTTAATAAAATGCCCTTTATTTTTGGTTTCGGATTCTCTCTCTCTTACTCGCACACATGAGCGTCCAAATAAATTATGCTCCCTTTTTTTTTTCTTGTTTCATAAATGTCACTTTGAGCATACATTTGCGATTAATTGCGGCAGGGGTGGGTTGGCAAGTGGGCGGGCAGAAAGTAATTGCTATAAAGCTGCGTAATAAGTGCACCTGTCAAAATTATTTCGTTTGGGACAAGGGTTTTGCGATGAAGCTGCAATTTATGAGAAAGTAATAAATGGTACATTTCTGGCTAGAACAATTTTTGTCCAAGTTGGTTCATTTGTTAAGAGTTCGGAAAATAATGTTTTCTTAAAAAAGTTTCAAATCGGCTTTAACAAGTTTAAAATATTTTTTATTTGTTGCCAATTAATCTTGTTAATTTTATTAGCATTATTAACACGATTAATAAAAAAAGATTGTTTTAAAAATTTATGACGAAATATTAAAATAAAACTGCCTTTCCGAAAACCATTGTTTTCAAATCAGAGCATCTCAATATCATTGAAATCTGAATATATCAGGGTAATTGGATATTTGAAAGCCATTCGAAATTTATTCCCGATTTTTAATTACTTTCTAAGCGCCCGCAGGGTCAATGAATCATCCACAGCCCCATGTATTCTCTCATTACAGCCCACGCAAGAGCAAATGCAATTAGTATTATGCCACCCAATTCCCACCCAGCTTGCCTCCGTGTATTTGCGTTTGTACTTGCTAACCACACGTACAAACCACAGAACAGTACAGCATTAATTATTCATTTTGCCAGTGGATTCTAAAGGATTCGCCCGCAGCCACATCGTGTGTCTGCTTTCCTACGTGGGTAGGTGCAAGTGCAGTTCACATTTTTGGGGACAACATTCGTAATCACTTTCCACACACATTGCAAAGCAAGTTGGGGTCAAAGGGTAGTGAAATGAGCTTGTTAAATTACGATACAGATACAAGGAGCGAATGGGCAGTGTCAAACGGACTTGTAAGGTCGCAAATGCTTAATTAATTTCTAAATTCTTCTATTGCTAAAGCCATTAATTGTAATTATATTTTAATAACTTATTTAATTTTGATTGAGTTTTATTTTTAGGCTTACCCTGTATCCATTTGTCGAACTTCTGCACCATCGTATGGAGGCAACAACCTGTTTCTGTTACTTAAACAAATACATCGCAAAATCAACGTACATTTTTTTCTTTGTAAACAAAAACATTTTTTTAAATAGCACATTTTTGTTATTCATAAAATTGATTCTGATCAGAAATATATTAACTTTTTAAGGTTGGAAACGCTTCCTTTTACCTGTTACATATTTGTTAACGAATAACAGTCAAGCAAAAACGTCTGAGAAAATCATGACTCATGATCATGTGTTTTTAAAACGTAAGGCTTTCAAATTTAAATAAGTTTTCGTTATATTCTCGCTGCCTGCATTATCTACTTTGTAATAGAGGTTGCAACATAACATTAAACTATTACAAAAACACCATTTCAAACTTTACTTAAGTGAATTTTCTAGCTGAGTTCAAAAATGTTAAGGGTGAATCAGCGGATAAGGATTTTGCGGTGAATAAATGTATACTTTTTCTACAATACTTAGCTATTTTCCACTGTGATTCAGAGGAATGGGTCACTTTGAAACGTTTCAGTGGCTACGAGACTTTTCGCTACAATGTAACAGTTGATGCCTGCCAATTCTTTGAAAATGAAAAATCCAATCCAGTTGCTAGTTATTTTTATAGTTTCTTTCAGGACATTGCCAATACCAACCACACACAACGTTAGTATGCATGTTGAGCAATTGTTGAACTATATATCTCAATTATCGTAAATGAGGTTTTGTCGGAGATGTAATTGGTTTTTGATCAAATTTGTATTGTGTAGCTAAAATTAAGGCAGACTACTATATGCAGCAAAACGATTATTCCTACCGGCTTTTCGATTTGTTTTGTATGAAGAGTTGATCACATGGGTGTATCACAATTCGCCAAAACTATGATGGTGTAATGGACATCTACAACAAAATGTTCTAACATTGTAATTAAGTCAAATTAGTCATTATTTTTCGTCGCAATACATAAAAAAATAAATTTTGTAAGGTTCTGACCTTGATAATTGTTTGTAATTATACATTTTCGGTCTATTCTTAATTTATAATGATAAATAATTATTTATCACCATTCAACTCAAGAAAATATACAAGTAGATAAATCGATATCGCGTATATTATGAGTAAACTTTCGCGTGCACTAAAGTTTTGATCTAAATATCAGGAAACAGTTAAATACAACAAAAAAGAAAACGGACAATTAGATATTTGTTACCCTATACATAAATAAATGTTCCGCTTAAAAATGATTTTACCTTTTAGCTCGATTAATACAGTAACAGTATCCCCACCAAAATGTTATTAATGCATATATAAAGCATTATAACTTCCGGGCAACGTTTCTTATTAAAAAAAACCTTGTTGCTCAATTACATATCTTTAACAAAATCGCGATAATAACTTTAAAATTATTGGTTTGATTTGGAAAATAGGCATAGGCACAACTAAAATTCACATGTTTAATCCAAAGTTATATTTTTTTCGCTTTAGAAAGCCCGTCCAAATCTTTTTGTTGTATAACTTTTAGACCAGAAATTGGATTCTAATATTTGAAGAGTTTTTTAAAGGGTTTGCAAGGTTCCAAATCTTTTTGTTGTATAACTTTTAGACCAGGAATTGGATTCTAATATTTGAAGAGTTTTTTAAAGGGTTTGCAAGGTTTAATTTTAATTTATAATACCTAGCAATCTATGTCAATATTATTTTCTAATTGTACTGCCGTGTTACCATATGCATATACCCTAAATTGGAGTGGTGGTAATCATATTTTCTCTTATTAACTTGGCTAACATGAGCAGTTAACCTACTGAATAGGTTTAAATTGCTATACAATCATTGCATTTTAGTTTCGCATGCATGATTCGTGAAATAGAGCTCATGATAGTCCCTCATTATAAAATCAATTCACTGATAAAAATAACGTGAACATTAAAAGATTGCTGATTTGTTTTTGACAGCGTCGAATCTAAAAACCCTTACTTATAATAATAATTTAAACCGTTCTCTTATATCTTACAATCGTTTAATATGAATAGAAAACGAATTCTTTTCGGAGGCAACTGGTTAAATTCTACTTGGTCACAAAGGTAATGTTTAATGTTTAATATAAATTTAAACATATCCCTTCAATTTGTTCCTTGCAGGTGCATTCCCTAGTTGAGATTACGAATGTTTTTCCTAATTTAAATATTGTCGCCTGGAATCTGTGAACCGACGGTTCAACTTAAGGAATGCGATCCAGCTCAATTCTGCACTTTATAGACGTTTTAGCGGCTATAAGTCTTTCCTATACAATAAAACAGTTGATTTCTGCCCGTTCCTTAAAAATTCAAAATCAAATCCAATCGATAGTTACTTATACGATTTGTTTATAGACTTTTTCAATATAAACCACTCCTGCCCTTATAATGTGAGTATAAGAGCAGACGGTCCAATAACTCCACATATTCTTAATTACGTATGTATGTATTATATTTTAGCATGACTTTGTGTTGGATAAGTTACCAACAGAGTATGTAAATCACCGAATTGCTAAAATTCTAGCTTTTCCGGAAGGAAATACCATGCTCAACTCTTTCCGGATGCTAAATAATAAAAGGCGAATGGTAATATAAAAATATATATTTCACCTTTGTAAATAAAGTTCTATCGAAAGTTCCAAATAAAGTAAGTTCCAAATAAAGTAAACATAAGCTAAAATTATCTTATAAAATTGTTTTTAATTTTCAGTACCGGCCAATTATCGAAATCATTTCATACACTGTTTGTTATTCAATAAACAATTATTGATAAAATGTACTATGAAGTGTTGTTAGCAGACAAGAAAAAATAAACCAAACTTAAAATATGCACTGGAAACTTTTAGCCCAGTTAGCACTTTAAATTTCGAGAGGAAAATGGGGTTCCACGTCACGGACTTGCTTTTACCATCATTTATCTTCGTCACTCGATCAAACGTGATGCTCGGCCGTAAAATGTCCTCTTTTTGTTCTAACGTAAAACCGAGCATGAAACATTTTGGGGGAACGTGCGGCAAATTATTCAAGGACAATGCTAAGATCCTTTGAAATGCAAATTTGGTTTTTTACTGCTTTTACCCAATCCCCCAACGGAAAATCAAGTGGCGGCAAATGATCCGAACCAACGCACTTTGCATATGGCCAAAAACAGGTTCGCCGCGGATTTCAACAAAATGAAATGCCAGCGGCGGGCCAAAAAAACAGGCAAGATGAGGCAAAAAGCGGCGAAAACGGGCATTTTTGCGTTAATTATAAACGCCAAGGCCAATACACGGGCACACGGCACACGCACAGGCATACATATGTGCGTTAATCTCTCTCATTTGACAGTTGGATTCAATTAGGAACGCCGCCACCCACACAGGCACATATAAGCCGCGTTTCAGGGAGTGCAACAGAGATGGCCTCCTCATTCGACGCTCCCCTCTGGCCGTCTCGCTCGCGCAGAGACGCGGTAGGCCAGTTGCTGTTTCTTCTCTCGTGCGCACTCGTGTGGCTCTCTCGTGTCCGCCTCTCTCTCTCGGGCGGGCGTAAAAGAGCGAGCAGCGCTTTTCGGGCAGCGACAGCGCCAGCAGGTCTAATCAGAATCAGTCTGTGGAGACTTTTCGTGCCGTGCACTTTGTGAAACGGAGAATATTTGTAACTCAAATCGTAAGAGGGAGAGGCCGCGAGAGTGTGCGACAGAGAGGCAGTGTAAATCTGTGCGTGTACGAGAAATCGATAACAGCAGCTGAAGTGGCTAAAGAAGAAGAAGCAGCAGAGTAGTCGAAAGCGCGTGTGTGTCGGTGTCGGCAAATGGATTTGGCTTAATGGAAAACCCAAACAGAAAATGATCTGGAGGAAAAATCTTGAAAATACGACGCAATTGTTTTGAGTACGTATTTGGGAAAATATTAAAAAAAAAAACACAAGAAATTTTCCCTCTGTGTGTGTGTGAACGGGTGAAAATTTTGTAAACACAGTTGAATTGGTGTGCGTGCGTGTTGTTCTCGCCGTATTGGAATTTTCGTCGTGCGGCGAGAAAAACGCGACCAGGCGGCGAAAATGCGCCCGCGCAAAAGTAGAAAGTTTATTTGCCGTCTCTCTCGCCGCGGCGAATAGATACAAATTTGTGTCGTGCGCTCTCGCTTCAGCGGCGAATTGAGAGCAAGTGGCTGTTGGATTTCGTCGACGTTTCGAATTGGATTTCAGTTGAACTCTGGACGCGGCCGCGGGAAATTCGTTCCCCAGTTGTTACGATTGTTTTTCGCACATTTCGTCCATGTTTTCGTCTTTTTTGTGAGTCTCGCCAGCTTGTTGCGTGTGTGTGAGGGAGAGAGAGAGTGGGAGAGACGAAAAGTGCTAGTGTGTGTGTGCAACCACCCTGCGGGCGCCCGTGCCGGCCTAACTGTAATTGTTGTTATTGCCGACACTTTCAAGCTGTGACCATGTGTGTGTGAGTGCGCGCCTTTTACGAAATTGCGGCGTATAAACAGAAAGCGGGAAAGGAAAATCAAGAAGAGAGCTCGCCAGCGACGTCATCAATATCACAGCGTCATTTTCCAGCTGAGTGGGCGTGGGCACACCCACACCACCACCCACTTTTCGGCTTACTTTTAGTTCAAGCCGCTCGGCCTTTTGTTTTTGTTTTGTTTGCCCTTTTGTTTTGCTAGCACAGCCTCCTTCGTTCTTCTTTCGCCCCCCCCTTTCCTTCCTATCTCCCTCTTTTCGTGCTGTTTTCGCGTGAGCGGCAAGCGAAAATAATCAAAAAGCAACGAAGACAAAAAATGGGTGAAGCGAAGTGATGCGACTTTTGGTAGCGCCTTGCGGTGGGTGGTGGACTGCTATTTGGGTAGCTGTGGGATTAATAAGTGGTTTTATTTGAAGAATACTTAGTTGTATAATGAATAATGCATTGCCAACTATCAGTCGCTATTTCATAATCTTCAAGTAAGCTAAAAAGTCTTTACAAGACATCTTATTAGGTGGTAATACTTATTATTAAAAACAATCATACTTTTAACATACAGAAGCAGAGATCGGAAACATTCAAAACTTATAATTGTAAATAACAGATTATTTTTAAAGAAATCAGTTTTATCTATATTTTTAAAATTTTACAAAACTTGATATATCTTAGTGTAATCTCACTAAATTATAAACTTTAGTTTATTTAAAATAAAACTTGGATTCAAAAAAATTAGTTAAAATTACAACTTTTAAAATTGGATATCGAAATCTAATCAACCTCCTTATGGAATTTGATACTTTTTTCGAACAAATTTTTTTTATTTTTAATTTTAGTATTAAATGTTTACTTTTTTTTGCGTTTTTCTATAAAAAATAACTTTTAATTAAAATGCTTGACGAAATTTGTTGAATATTCAATAATTTTAAGGTGCTTTCTATAAAGAAGATGGCTCTGGTTTCATATATCTAAAATAAAGTATCTCGAGCTGTTCCTAGCAACCTTTGAGGCGAGGTCTTCGAACAACCTGCTGATCCACTATGCCCTGAACCTTGCCCTGAACTCTCGGCAGCCTGCCATCAACTCGTAATCATCGCCAGGGCATCGCCATAATGATGAAAATTCAGTTTCCCCTTGGTGTTCAGGGCACAAAAGCGTAATTTTCGTAGTTTTATGGGAAGTGTGGGGTGTGGGGTGTGGGGGGTGGGGGAAGTAGAGAAGGGACGACGAGCTAAAACTAGCTTCAAGTACACCGTCGAGTGCACATCGCTTTCTGTGTTTTTCTCTCGGCTCTTCTCGGCTTCTCTCGTTAGGTGCCCTCTGTGGCACGAAGGGCGCACGAAAGACCCCACCTCCCAAATAAAAACCCCCCACCCCCCACCCCCCAACCCACCCACAAAGTTGCTACTTTTGTGCTCTTCTTTTCCATTTTTTTTGTTTTTTTTTTTTTATTCATATTTTTGTGAGCTTGCAGCACATTGTTCCGATTCATGGATATGGATGGCTGCCTTACTAGTCTAAAGTTTTCTGTTTTGTGCGAGTGTGCTGACGTTGCCGTATCTTTTGGGACAAGATACAGATACACGGTTGATATATCAGCCTCTGTGGCTTTTTGTTGACGAGCGACGACCACAAATGTCGACAGCGATGATGATGGTGATGTGAATGTGAATATGATGTTGGTTAGGCGATGGGATTGTGCTGGCTGTTCTGGCGGTTCTCACAGTTGTGTGTGTCTTTTTCCAACTTTGTTGTTTGGCCATTGTTAACAGCTCTCCTCTAGCCTTTGTCATCATTATGGGGAGACCTAAACAGTTGATTAGCCATCATCAGTTGTCACTTGTCACTTGTTGAGCACATGCCGTATATGGAAATTCCGCAACTTAACCCCGACCGTTGTCCCTTTTTCAGGACACCCAAAAAAGAGGCTACTAAGAGTTAGGATTGGCAAATAGACTGGAAGATGCACCTGCAAATCACGCACAAAACTGCACAACCAGAGGCGTCACATACCGACATGGATTCCGCATCCCCAGCATCTCGAGATGTTCGGCAGTTCCACGATCTGATAACCTGCCGACTTTGTCGCGGTTACATGATCGACCCAACCACAGTGGATTATTGCTATCACACCTGTAAGTCATATCATAATACACATTAAAGTACACCGATTTCGAATTTGACTTTCAACCTGAAAATATTTTAAATTTAACTTAATATAGTATCAAAAAACTTATTACATTGTGTTCTTAACATGTTATTAAGTTAATTAAGTTTGAAGTTTGACTTTCAACCTAAAAATATTTAAACTTTATCTTATTAGCAACGAAACACTTAATACATTTTTATCTTTACATGTTATGTTTACATGTTATAAAGTAAATTAAGTATTAAGTGATTTCATAAAAATATAACATTTATATAATTAATACTTTGATGATCGTGATTTAAATGTTCAATATATACTATTTTACTTACTAAATCAAGTGGAAATGATTCATATTTTTCTTTACTAAGACTTCTAACTTCTGTTACTTGAACTAACTTACTGAATTCATCAAAATTTGTATTTAAAATGTTTGTTTACAGATATGTTTGCATAAATTTAACTTGTCTTACACCTAAAGTATAATCTGTATTATTTTGTCCTACCTATAATTTCTCTGTAGATTGTCGCAGTTGCATACTAAAGCATCTGCTGAGGACAGTTTACTGTCCGGATTGCAAGGCAAGTGGCGGCAAGGAGATTAGCGAACTCAATCTGAAATCGGATGATACCTTACGATCGCTGATCTTTAAGCTAGTGCCGGGCCTCTATCAAAGGGAGTGCAAAGAACTGGCGGATTTCGAGGAGCAACATGAGGATTTGATGGATGAACAAATGCCCAACGAACAGGAGTTCTTCACCTCCACGGAACTTGTGAGGTAAGTAAAGATAAGAGGAGTAGGACGTGTCAAATCAAACAGTTAATCAAATTGTGGGCTTCCATTTTCCTTTTTATATTCAATAGCTTATCCCTTGAATACCATCCCGCCATGCTGCATCAATGTGGCGCTGGCGAGGTGCCACCCATTATTTACCTGCAATGTGCCGCTGGGTTGCCCGTGGAGTTGCTAAAGCGCTTCCTCTGCACCAAGTACAACATCGAGGCAGAGAACAAGTTGGTTGAGGTGGAGGTGACCTACGAGGACGAGGTGTTGCCCTCCAATTTCACGCTGATGGATGTTGGCTACTGTTACAACTGGAGTCGGGTAAGTGGCTTTTTAATTACAATTTTACCCTGCACAGAGGAAAACAGAGTCTGAAGATTGGCAAATGCTACATATGTAAGTGTATTTCCTTATATGAGGGGTAGCTTATGATTTAAAAGCGTGAAGTTAACTTTTAACCGCGAGAAATGACTCGAATCTACAATGAAAAATCAATGATAGATAGCACAATTTATTTTTTATATTTATGAATGTATAGTCGTATTAGAAAAGTCTACGCAAAAAGTGTTTAAGTCTTTTTATTTAAAAAGAGATAGTAGTATCTACTTATTTGCTTAACGCTCCTAAAAAGATAGAATCAAACCCTTAAATAAATTAACTTTTTACAAACACTATAATTTGAAAGTTTTGTCACATGAGAAGGGATAACAGGGTTGCAAGTCTCACATGATTTGCGGTGTTTCGAATGCCAAAATAGACCTTAAAACAGATCCATCTTATCGCCTTTGGTCAGTTTTAAGTATGAAATCCGCCCTTTTTTCCTCTGTGTGGGTTGTCTATTGTCCCTTTCTGTGGTTTATCTCAATTACCCGATAGATTTTTGGGTGAGGGAAACCCAATCCAATTGTGTCGGCAGTTTAGCGTTCAATGTCCACTTTTCAATTTTCCACCCTTGTCAACCTGCCCGTTTTTTTTTTCTATTTCATCCATTTCTCCCCTCACCAAATCCATTCAGCAATCGCCCATGGCCTTCTGCTACCGCATTTTGCTGTACGAGAGCGAGCGAGCAAAAAACGATGAGAACAACCTATCCAGGATTAACCAGGACATTGAACCGGAGCACTCGATGCGTCGCTCCAAGTCGGCCAAATCGGTGACATTTGCCGAGGACCTGGAATCGGATATGGATTCCGGTTCGGCGCGTTCCAAGGCGCGAAATAAGACCTCGCCGAAGGTTTCACCCTCATCCTCCGCGAAGAACAAGCGTGTGGCGACGAGCAAACGGGAACCGGAACCAGAGAGTCCGGTCAGCACCTTCAAGAGTCTTCGCAGCAATGATATGCGCTACAGTGATTACGCCGTATCCAAGGTTAAGAGTGAACCGGAACAGGAGCAGGATGTGCCGCCAAGGGAACTGGATCAAGTGCCCCTGGTGGCCAACACGAACATAGTGGTCAGCATTCCACCCTCGCAGTTGGGCAAATCCTACGGCGATGCTGAGGATTTCGAGCTGAAGACGGCAAATCGAAAGGGTGTGGGTGTGGGCCATTTGCCCAAGCTTAAGATCGAACTAAATAGCATGAAGAGCAAGTTGAGTATGCCAATGTCGGCTGGTCCGCGACTGGAGGATACCGGCTCCTCGCAACAACTCGATCTGGAGACCTATGCCAAGAACATTGGCCTGAAACCGATTGAGCAGCCGATAGTTCAAGGTATTGCTACGCCCGATAGCAAATTCAGTCCCAATGCATCGCCCATGTCCTCGTGCTCCAGTTCGACCAATGGATCCAGCTGTAGTCTGGGCACTGCCGATGCCAGTACCTCCACGACCACCACCAGCAGTTCACATCGCAAGCGCAAGAAGAAGCACTCCAAGGAGCCAAAGGATGCGAATGGTAAGCGCAAGAAGTTGCATGCGGAGATCTCCTCGCAAACGGATGGCAAAATGAAGGTGAAGATCACGGCCAAACCCAATCACAAGTTTGACCTGAAGAGGTCACATTCGCTGGCCAGTGGAGAATTGGCTCTGCAGCAGCTGAAATTGGATAGTAATACCAGCACTTCGGAGGCACTTAATCGCACTTTGGGCGAAGAGGCAAGAAGTATTAGTAGCTTGGTGGTGGGTGGAGCACCCACTCCTCCGCCCACGCCCACAACGGAACCAGCGGAGCAGCAGCAGCAGCAGCAGCAACAACAACAACAACAACAACCGCTGATGATGGCAAAAAGCAAGGACATTAACTTGCCCACATCGCCACCTTTGCCGCCCAGTTTGTTCAAGGCCTTTACGCCCAGCACAACGCCTTCTCCCCCAGCAACAGTGGCGGTAAAACCCAAACAGCAGCAGCAGCATCAGCAGCAGCAGCAGCCGCATCATCATCAGCAAACGCCGCAGCAACATCAAGTTGTGGCACAGCAAACCCAAGCTAAAACGAACCCCGCTAAACCGCCGCTAAGCAGCAACAACCAACGCAAACCATCATCGGTGGCCGGTGGACACTTTGTGGTGCCACAAGCACCCACCAACCGGAATATGTACAATATGCAACGCTACCTGTCCACACCCAGTTCGATAGCCAGTTCGGCCAACAAGCAGCCCAAGCGATCGCTCTCCCTGGACGAATCGCATCCGGCAAAGCAGGCGAGATTGAACCAGGCCCAGGCGATGGCCAGCTATACGGCCAAGTTGCACATGCAGAACAATAACCAGTCGGCCAAATCACAGGCGGCCGCTTTCTTACCCAATCCCCAGATGAGATCATATGGTCCCGAAATGGGCAATAAGCCAGTGCTGCCGTTTTTGTGCCCCGCCAACTTGAGTTTATCCCTGCCGAGCACGGCCCAAGTGACAATTACGCCCAGGCCGAGAGCCACACCGGCGGCCTACTCCTTTCCCGAACCCAATAGCCATGTGCCTGCCCTGGAAATAGTCCGTTTGCCCTCGAATAGTGCGAGTAAACAGGCAGCAGGAGGAGGAGGAGCAGGAGGAGGTGGTGGTGGAAAAATGCCAACGCAAATGCCGCCTCTCAGTCCGCCGGCAAGTTCGGGTGGCCGCCTGATGGGACCACCAGCGGCTCTGCCCAAACAACAACAAGGACATGGAGCAGCGGCCAAGAGGAGCAGCCAGAGTCAGTCGCCGCCAATGCCCCTGCCGATGACCACGATTCCAGCGATTGTCAAGTCGCCGCCGCTGTCAGTTGCGCTTAGTTGCGGGCAAAGGACACAGACCAGCAAAACTCACTCCACAAGCAACTCCACATCCAACTCCACATCCAACTCCAACTCCAACTCCAATGCTTATCGCACATCACCGCCTGCATTAATAAATCTGCGCAACACAGCCGCTCCACACTCGTTTCCATCAAAGTCGAACGCTAAGGTAGAAGCCAATTCAAAGAAATCCCCGCCAGCAGCTGGCTGCCAAAGCCAAAGCCAAAGTAAAGCCAATGGCACCGCCGCATTGGACAAGTCGTCGAAAACGAGTTTGCGCGAGTTTCGGCCAGCAGTAACCACTCCGGCCACATCGTCAGCGGCAGCGGCGGCGGCGGCAGCAACGGGAGCAGCAGCAGCATTAGTCAAGGATGCCGACATACTTGATTTATCAGCTAACCCGGGCAGGAATAGCAATAGCAACAGCACTACCGCCAAATTGGCGCCCACATCACCGCCCGCGGGTAATAACAATGCAACAGCAACAACAACAACAACTAGCAGCAGCAGCAGCAGCAGCAGCAGCAACAGCCTGGAGGCAGCCTTAAACAAAATCAAACAGAATATATCCGCCAACAGCAATGGTGGACCAACGACCACAGCAGTCAGTTCGAATGGAAATAGCATTAGCAGCAGCGGAATTAGCAGCAGCAGCAGCAGCATCACCAGCGGAATCAGCGGCAGCAGCAGCAGCGGCAGCAACGGCGATGATCTACAGAATTTGCAAATGCTTTCGGAATCGGCAACGGCCAGGGAGAAGATCTCCATAAAGGCAGCAGCAGCAGCCGGCAGCAGCGGTAGTAGTAGTAGTAGTAGTGGCGGTACTAGCAGCAGCAAGCCCAAGAATGCCAATGCGTTGGTGAGACCTCAGAATGCCTCGGTTAGGAGTATACCCAATCCCTCGGCTCTGGCCTTTCGCAATCAGCCTGCGGCTGCAGCAGCACCAACAACAACAACAACAACAACAACGCCAGCAGCGGCTCTAAGCAAACCGTTAACTGTGCGGGCCGAGGAAAAGCCCAAGTTGTCCGCTACCAATAATCCCGGTTCGCTTAGCCCCACCAGCAGCAGCAGTAGCAGCAGCAGTAGCAGTAATAGCCACACTGGATGCAGTGCAGCCACATCGCCGCGGGCAATGACCAAGAAACCGACGACCATTGATCAAGTGGCAGCCAATTTGAATATACGTGCCGAGGCCAAGGCCGCTGCCCTCGCCGAAGAGGCGCCACCCGTTCTCAGTTGCAATGCGGCCAAATCCCCGGAATTGGCCAAAACGACGACGGCGGCCACAATCGGAGGATCACGGACGGAGCCCAAGGAGACGGCCATCACCGTTTCGGCGGCCAGCACGCTGCTGCCCATGCCCTCCAGTGTGTCCGGTGTGTCCGGCGTTCCGGAATCGCTGTCCAAGCCGCCCGTCCAGATTGCCAATGCTCCGGTGGCGAGTTCCGCTTAGTCACAAGGTGAGTCTAACATTGATTTTTAATTATATTTAGGATAAGAACCTGAGATGTCTCGGGGATAACAATCGTACTTTATCGATTTCCCTAGAATATATCTTTGTTTTATTTTAATGAAAAATGTATCTTTTAGATTCTGTATTTGTCACTGTATTAAGAAAATGTATCATAATGTTGGGTATTTTTTTTTATTTTTTAAGCAATATTACAATAGTATAGCATATTCAGGATTTGAGCTTTGTTTTCAAAGCTTTTTCAGGTCAAGTGCGGATTCAGCACACATTCGTTAATGTCAATTTTATCTTAAGTTATCTAAATATTTGATCTCTCTTTTTTTGCAAACTAAATAAGTATAGCAATTTTAAATTTTACAAATTTTTTTGTGAATCCAAATTAATTTTTGCATTTTATAGCCCAAAAAATTATCTTTTTATTCGTTTTTGGAACTTGTTCTATAACCCCTATCTATATAGCTTCCGTTATAGCTTAAATCATCTTTTTGGTTATTATATGTAGGTTTTGGAAATTCCCTTAAATTTATTATTATTTCTGCGTTAACTGTACTAAATAACCTGAATCATCTATTTGTTTATTAATCGCATTTGCAATAAGAACATTTTTTCCAGATGAATTTTTTTTAATTTTTTTTCTTAGCCACGTTTTCTAAGTTTATTCCAAAACAAGGAATCAAATGCATAGGTTTTATTTTTAGATTAACAGTCATAGGTAATCCTCATAGGAAATTATTTTGTTTGGTTCACTCTAATTTTTGTTGTTTCATGATTTATTTTGTTAAATTTTCTAATGTTTTAAATACTTGCAACTATACTATAATATCCTGTAATTTCATTTATTTAACTTATCGTTTAAATAAGCTTTGGCTATTATCTAGCTTTAATTTGTTCTGATGATGGTTTTTCTGTTTAACGATCTGTTGTGACCTTTTAAACTCTACGCTACATTAGTAACGCAAGCTCTTTGGTTAGAGCCAACTTTCCACAACTATCCACAACTCACTAACTTGGCTAGTTCTTTATTGCTTCTCTTCTTTTCACTTCCACTTCCTTTATGAGTTGGCTATATAATTTTTCTTTTTGGCGCATTTCCCACACTTGATGGAATTGAGTCTCAAATTATACAAATTACATTTCGTGTTTTGCGTTTTCTTGCCTCGTCTTTGTTGTTATTTCTTTTCTTTTCTGTTTTGGCTTTTCTCAAGTAGTCATTATACACAAATAATGTATCTTCTTCTACGTACTCTCTGTCTCTCTCTCTCTCTCTCTTTCCCCCGCACGCCGCCCATCTCTCTCTCTCTCTCTTTTTCTCTATTTTGTCGTTCGTCACTCGGCAGCGGTCGTGGTCGGTCATTCATACGACGCTTTGCTTTTATTTTAGACGTTACTACACTGAGTTTGGACTTTTTCGCTGTGTTTTTCCTATGCCCGTTAATCGTAGAGTAGAAAGGGTATATGATATTCGTTCTTAAGTTTGTAACATGACATGAGAAAGCGATTACTGCACTTTAGAACACATATATTCAGATGCAAATGAATAGTCAATTTGGCTTAAACTTGTTGAATCGTACGTTTGATCTTATGTAACCTAACCCGTAAATTTTGAATATAAGCCACGCCCCTTTGCGGCCCTTAAAATATCATATTATTTACATTTTTGAGGGTTACCCATATATTTCAGACCTCTTAGAAAGTTACCAAAAAAAGTTGTTTTTTTTTATGTTAATTCCTAAGATCAGTGAGTAATGAGTATTTTTTAGTCCTAGCACAACACTTTTTATTTTATGTTATTTTTTATTTTGGTTTTTGGTTTTGCGCGTTCCCTACGTTTCGTGTTGCGTTTTTTTTTTCTTTTCTGTTTTTGTTGGCCTTTTAATGAACATCGGCCGAGTAGAGTCATTACATCATTTTGTATTTTCACCCATAGAAAGGCGAATAACATTTTCATTCATTCTCCGTTTCTTATTTCGTATCTTTTGCAGCGTTTCTTTGGCTGTGCGGAACGCAAATGTATCTTGTGGCGCCGCTGGAGAATCTACAGAATACCGACAACATCTGAAGGTGATGAAAAACGAACGGATCAACAACAAAACCAAAACGAATGAAAAGCAAAACACCAGCAACACCTGCAGCACAAGCTTACCAACCTCGCTCCCGAAGAAAAAGTGCAATTTAATTAATCAGTAGAATGATCGTAAGCCTTAGAACTAACCCGAAATACACTCAACGCTAAGCAATAACATATATACACAGGCCAACAGAATATAAGTATCTGCTTTGGATAGGGAAACCGCATCATTTGCATATGTATATGCAAATATTTGCAATCGAATTAGTACGCGACTAAATAAATAATCCAAGCAAATTTCAAAAATGCCACCAACAAAATTAAATTCATTAATTAATAATCCAAGAGTGACAGGGACAGAGACAGACACAGAGAGAGAGAGAGAGAGAGAGAGAGAGAGAGGGGAATGAGGCGAGGAGGAGAATAATAATCAAAAGCGCTGGCGTTCGCTGGCATTTTCGAAAGCAGTCGAAGGCAGCAACAAAATTAATTATAAAATATCAACAGCAAATATGTGTTAAACCGAGATAAGGTCAAACACACAAACAAACACATGCCTTTAATAGATAGATCTTCGGTTGGCATTTTGCTTTTTTGGGGGAAAGTCCAAACGAAACCAAACAAAACAATTAACAAAAAAATTATATAGCAAATTATTTTAAAATGGGCGATAGTAAAACAAAAACTGATAGGGAAAAAAAAGGAAAATCGCATCAGGAATATTTGATTACAAACTGAGTGCCGAAAGTGTTTGGCCCACACCCTTCGGAAAAACTGCCACGAAGTGTGAAAATTCGGAAGTGGTGGTGGTGGTGGTGGCGGCGTTGGCTAGATTGTTCGGAAGGGAACACACTCGCACATAGCGAAAGATACAGCCAGCCCGATACCCGATACACACTCACGTTCTTCATCGGGGCGATAAAATTTTAACGATTTTGCGCCGCTTTGAGCGAGCGTGTCAGGCATAAAGATACAAAACAATACTTGGGCATATAAACAAAAGCAAACAGAAACGGAATAATGAAAATAACAAACTCGCACTGGCACAACACACATGCGTATATATTTATATACATATGTATACCCAAATAAAATATATCTTGTAGATACTTTTTCGTATTAGTTGTTTAAGCGAGTTACGTTTAATTGCAGCACGAACTTTGTACATAAATTTCAAAATCGAAGCCAGGCAAAAAAAAAACCAGCACCCCAGCACTTGGAAATGAATTTTAATTTTTAGAGCTTCGACCAAATGAAATACTATATATATATATATATATACACGAACACGCATTATACAGATATCGATATACTCCTTCTTATATTTACGATATTCGTACACTCGAAAAAAGGCTTTAGGTTTTCGTACTTTTATTCTCTTCTTGCTCTTAGCTGATATTTTTTGTTTTGTTATTTATACACATATTGTCTGTACATATTCTAAGCGAAGAAACAAAAAGATGAATTATAAAGTTTATGAGGGAGGAAGGTAAAAAACACTAAATTGTATGAGTTTCATAGAGGAATAGCTGGATTATAGAATGGTGGTAGAGCCAACCCTTGATTTATCCGTATCTTTTTGCAACCCCCTGCTCGTGGGCAGCATCCCTCGTGATCGCCACGAAAAATTAACATAATTTCCAGGCAATCAAACAAATTGAAAGGCCTCGGATCGACCTCCAGCTATTCCAAACACTTTGGCTCGACTCCTGATTGTTGTATATTTATTTATTCCTATTATTGAGATATATATATTATACAATTATATATATATATATATATATATATCTAGTTGTATATGTGAAGGCTTTGATCGGAACGTTCGACTTATTTAAGCGGATATTGTACTGTTCGGACACCTTAACTAAATAAACCTATGAATACTTAAATATATAAAGCATATATGTTTAGAAATCTGATTGTATGCACGTCTGTATGTAATATTGTTAGAAAACCCTCGAAATGTAATCCAAAACAAACACACACACACACACACACACAAACACACCCTTCACACACTAAGTTAAATTAGCTGATTTTCGAAAACAATAAAAACATGAAAATGGTACACAATATAAAACGAATGCGAGTGTGGTCTTATATTTTTATGGGCTGTGGATAAATCAGAGCGCCCGACGTCATCGACGTCGACAGTAGGTGTCGCCTCGTCCAAAGGAAGTCGGCTCAAGTTACAGACCCATCGTCAGCGTTCCATTGCTCCAGTGCTCCTTCCACCCCTTCCCAACCCTCGAGGTCCACAAATCACCGATGTCTTGTTGTTGCCACCCCCGCTTGGCCCGGAGTTTACTTGTTGGCATTGCGGATTTCAACGCTTTTCATGCCTCATAAAGGAGTGGGTGGCGGTGGGCGAGCACTTGCCGGAAACATATGGCAGCTCGCTAAAACCAAGGGCCTTTGTCACTGCTCCTGTACACTACACTGCAAACAATTGCGGTTTTTTCACTAAGCGGTTTAATGAGCTTGCTGATCTTAAAGCGCGAAAAGATATTTCTAAAGGTTTTATTTTAAACAGAATCAAATACAAATTTCACAAGCCCTTTAAAAAACTTTTGAAGATGAGTTAATACCAATGTAGAAAACTAATTGTTCTATCTGCTTGAGAAATAGTTAAGAAATAAACGTTATGAACTTAAAACTTAAATATGTCGGTAGATAAAAATAGAATATGCCTGCTTCAGCATTTTATTAGACCTATTTTATGACCCTAAATTGGTTAACATTTAATTTTATTTTATGTTAGATCAAGAATTTTTTAAATAAAAATATCTTACACCTTACATAAATCAATATCACAAACTTTAATTTGTTTATTGCCTTGATCCTTTTATCTTCTACAAAAAAGGTATTTATATTTAAATATAGTTTTTTTTTAAATACAAATATCTAAGAAATGGAACTGTAAGAGCTGTGATCTCGAATAGGTCTGTAAAATTGTTCAGTGCACTCCCCCACAAAGCCGCAGAGCCTTGCCACAGTCGCTTCCACATAACGGGGCACGTGCCAGGGCACCACCCACCCAGCCACCCAGCCACCCCTTCACCCATCAATTCCAGTCCAGTGGCGTAAGCTTCTGCAAGGGCGACTGCCACCGAAGTAAGGCAGCACGAGGACGTGCACAAGGACGAAGGCAAAACGAAGGAAGCTTCACCGAACAGCAGCGTTTGAGTTGCTTTTTGGCCATATATGCGGTGCACCAGCAACATATTATAGCAACATATTTAGCCCAGAGATGGGAGCGTGATCAAGTAATACAGAAAACATGGTTTAGGGATTACAAATCTTTCAAAGATCAGTAAGGTCAAAACCAAAATGTGAGTGCACTAACCTTATGTAATATTATTTAATTAAAATGTCCCTGCCACTAAATAACTTCAAGTTTGTAATAAAAAAACTTAAACTTAATGACGACATTAGGATGATATAATATTGATATAATTTTATTGTCATCTTCAAAAAAAGTTTTTTGTAATATATAGTTGGTGTCATAACAAACAAATATATAACATCAGATTAATGTGAAAAGATTATAACTAAGTAAATAAAATTCGTTAAAAAAATGCAAGCATAAACAGAAAACGATATTTTGAAACCCAGTAAAATATTAAGTTAGTTTTTTTTTTTGATTTGCCATCTTTAAAAAGGCTTTTTTACACTCAGAAAGAAAGCACTAACCAAATTATAAATAATATTAGTTTCAAGTGCAAAGAAAACAAAAATGGAATTCAAAATCGTATTCGAACGTGTCACGCTGTCATCGCTATTTCAGACAACTTGTTGTTTTATTTGCTCGTCGTACTTTTATTAAAAACGAACGCTACTTAATCAGCAGCAAAATGTCGCACTTTACTGCGCACCCCCGTAAAATAGAGAGAGCAAGAGCCCAGAGCCAGAATCAGAGTAAGAGTAAGCCGAAAAGGGGCAGCAGACGCCGTTTGACTTTTTGCTGTCGTTGCGAAAACAGACTTATCAGCTTTGCATTGTATTTGTTGCCTCCGCTGGCTGAAAGCTTTCCAAATCGCCTTGTCCCGCTCCATCCGGCCACCCGTTTGGCATGTGCCGCCCCCTCGCCACCCACCACCACCACCCTCGCAATGGCCCTTGATAAATGGCATTTAAGTATTAGTTGTTGCTGCGACTGTTTTAGCGGGAACGTGCCCAGCTTTGCGATTCGCGATTGGTAAATTGGGTAATTGAAAACACTTGGCTGTTATGATTTATTATCTGTTTGTTTTCCCCAGTCGCTAGGCTGATGTAACTGATTCGCTGACACATTATATGTCGGATTATTCGGCTGGCTATATCAATTAATTGCCATCTTTTTGGTAGATCTGAAATATATGTACTTTGCAGGTAGGTTCTCTTTTTAGAAAATGTATTTTTAACGTATTTTAACTATTTACTGTAAACAGAAAGATATTCAAATTTCAGCAACGACTCTCACCTATAAATCCACGATATCCACAGTCATTGGAATTGTTCGTAAAGCGTTTTTAAGTATTTTTAAAGATTTAAGCAACGAAACTCTTGACAAATTCATTTTTTTCTGCGTTTTTTAAAGAATTGGTAACTTTTAGGAAAGTTCTTTCTAGATAAGTCTCAGAGAATTCGGTTTCACTCAGAATTAACTTTCGCTTGATTTCGAGATTTAGAAATGATTGAATTCCGCAAAAAAAAACTCGCTGAAAATTGTGCCAAGTTTTCAATGTTTTAAAAAAGGTTAAAAGATTTCGACTTCAAACGAATAGTTTAAAATAACTTAACATTCTTCTTCTATAGCATAAGTCTGAGCGGAAAGAATCGGACGACTATATCTGCCAAAAAGCACTCACAGGAATTGGTTAAAATAAAATTATAATCTTTTTTGGTTTTCAACTTAAACGCTTACAACACGAAATATGGATTCTTTTAATGTTTATAAAAAGTGAATAACCTTTTTTGTTTGGATCTAAAATTCTTAACACTAAGGCAAACAATATGAAGTGTTTTGGTATTAAAAACCAATTAATCAAATGTCTAGCGCCCATGACAAACCACTCCCTGATAAGTAACTTAATATTTTAATACACCAAAAAGCGTTGACGAATGTGGCGGAAAACAGCTAATGCCCAAAACTATTGTTTTGTTTTTAAACGGTGATTGTTGACTAATGAAGATTGGAATAACCGAGTTTTGCACCTCTGGAAATAGACGTTTTGCAAATCAGCAATCCATCATCTGCCTTTCATCGATTGTTTTACTTGTGTGTGTTGTAAAAGGCTAGCGATAGCGAGAAACTAAAATATTTGCTACGGTGTCTCTAATATAAATATGCTAATTAATCACGTGTTTTATACTTTACTTACCTAGCTTACGTAACAGATATTGTTAGTGTGTAGCAGAGCAATTTCACTGCCATTTTTGAGCTCGTGCCGTCAATTTGTCGCGCAAAGTTATTATTAATGCTAATGTACTGCACTCATTATATGAATAAACAATTAGTATAGAGTGGGTAGGGCAATAAGTTTAATAACTTGTTGTTAAAGTGAGTATTAAAATAGGTTGCTGTATTTAAATACCTTTAGATTTGTAAGCATAAACTTTACACAGAACTCAAAAATTGTTTTAGTGCTGTGAACAGCGTTACTGGTCTCAATCTTTCTTTTAAGGGCAGTATTTTAAGGGCAACGTTTTTTCCAAAACAAAAGTTTTTTTTGGACAATAAACTATAATTGAATAACTAATAACAATAGCGCTAAATGACATCAAATTATTATAAAACATTTGTTTGAGTCAAAATTTCTTTGATTTAAAATCAGTTGTGCTAGCTTAAATACTGTGCCCAAATAAAAACTTTTTGTAACCAATAAAATAATCTTCCTCGAATTTAGTTTATTAAACAAAAAAGTAACAGCCATAGAAGGAATTTGATTGAAAGAATAAAGGAAATGGTAAAATAAAATGCAACTTAAGATTATTATGGTTTCAGTCGTAGTCCAATTTATAATAAAATAATTATGTATTCCTGTTTCTTTTGATCCGTTTTTACCAAAAAATATTTGTTGGCCCGATTAAGATTGATTTTGTATTAGTTACAAGTTCTTACGCAAATATATTTTCTTTTAACGGAATGAATAATACTTGTCAACTGCATTACATATCAGAAAAGTATATCAAGGAGCATGGCCAATTGATACCAGTTAAAATTAACCAGACCTGCTTGACTTTATAAGCTTTTGATGGCCTGCAAAATTTGTTTTTGGCATTATGCCAATCTACTTAGCCGTAAATCACTCCCAATTAAGAACGTATTAGTTTTAGGGTGCCCATAAAATCGAAATTGTCCGAATCTAATCTACTTTGGCAATTTTCGAGTGTCGAGGCAGATCGGTGGCGGTGATAAGTGCCAAAACCAAAAGAAATGAGCCTCAACTTTGATCCCCGATCCAAAGGCAATATATGCGCTCGTGTATAACCATTAAAATTAATGAAGAGGGAAGGCAGATGCAGGGCCATCGAGAACGAGACAGCGATATAAATACATATATGTACATATGGCAAGGGAACAACAAAATGAGCGTTAACCAAGCGAATCCTCGGCACGTTTTGGAATTTACACGAGGCCAGGAATTACGGGGACTTGGGGCAGGGGAGTGGGATGTGGGGTGTGAGGGGGGGTTGACGTTTTGTTTCGACCAAGGTGTGTCTGAAAGTCACAAGAGGGGCGGGCTCAGAGGGGGGGGTGGGAGAACGCAGACGTTATGCGAAACACGCAAAACGAATTTGATTTCGTTGCACCGATGCTGAAGCGCTCAGTTCAGTTCAGTTTGGCTGTTGCTGTTTCTGTGAAACCAACCGACGACGAACCAACCAACCAACCAACCCCTCCTCCCCGATTCCGATACCGATTCCGATTCCGATCCCTCCTGACCATGGATTGCATGGCTAGCATGGCAATTTGCCATTTTGAACACAACGAAGCGAAGCGCCGAGGGTTGGGAAGGGTTTTGGGAGGTTCGCACAGTGTTGTGCGTCACGGGGGTAGCGGAGGGCAAAAGGGGGGTGCCGATGGCAAAGCAGGGTAGCA